GTTATTGAGACTTCTGGTTTCTCTTTTTCCTCGCTCCACTTGCCTTCTTTCGGCCTTTTCTGTTATGGAGACTAATAGTAATTCAACAGGTATGTGAATTATGTCATCTATAAATTCTTTCGGGGGTCTTGACCTCCATGCCTCTCTCGAGCAGGGGCTGTTTCCTTTCATGTCTGCATCATCAGTGCTGAGCAAACGCCTGACACTCGTGGGCCTGCAACTGATATTTCTGAACCTGTAAATGAACACCTCACATTAATAAATCACCTTAAATTTCTTCTAGTCCTAAGAAGAGGAACGCGTAAGAGACAAAGGGAAGATCTACAGAGGACTCTCGTGCTTATTCTAATATTGACTTACAAAGGAGAGGTTCTGTCCATCACGGATGTACCTTGTTAAGCTGGGGCGAATCATTTACCTCCTGGATCGATGGGGACTAATACTTAGGTGTCTGATGTCAGGTGTTATGGTGCTGTAAATTGCAATCTCAACTCAGGTACTAGATTTGTTATTTCTTAGAGATCAAAACTCTAGTAAGTGGAGGTGAAGAAGGAGGTATCAAGGACTGCCAGTCCGGTGGGTCTAGAACGCTGGAAGTCCCACGTACAAGCCCTGAACTGCCACCCTTGACCCAGCGACTCCAGGCAAACAGTCCCTCAGCCCTGCCTCTGCTTCCTCGTGTCTACAAATGGAGATGATATTATCTTCCTTCTTAGGAGATTAATAGGAGCATCAAAAAAAAAAAAAAAAAAACCCAAGAGATGAAAGTCCTATGTAAACTATGATGTTTCATTTACATACAAGTTAATTATGTTGTTATTAATAGCAGCATGGTCTGAAAACTGAGCAAATACTAACTTTGTAATTAATATGCTCTAAATTCTGTGTAATATGGGAAGAGGAAATACTGGAAGTAGAAATGTAAAAAGTGCAGTAGAAATCATTTCAAACTTTAATGTTTGAGAAGGAAAACAAAGATTCTTTGACATTGAAAAGTCAGGTTCAGGGTGGTAATTGGGTTTGGGGCAACATCAATGTTTAAGGGGTATTGAAATAAAATCATTCACATTTGAGTGCTTATGATTTACAAAAAAAACACTAAACAAGCTATTTCAAAGAAATGCGATGCAATCAGCATAGAGATAATTCATCACATCTTTCTATTGGTTTCAAAAGCCATAACTGAGTAGGGAGGGAAGACCTGGGCCCGAGCAGCGGAGGGGTCCAGGGGAGGGGCTCCCCTGACATCCTGCAGCTGGTGAGAAATGGTGACACTGCTAGACTTCTTAAACCGTGGGCTCAGCTCCCAGGGAAAGCAAGTCTTCTTGAGGTCATTGGCAAAATCACACATTTGTGACTGCAAGGTGTCTGCTCTATAAAACCTCTTCTAATTGGAATCATCCAGAGGAAGGTGGTAAGATTTGGTAGCAAGTCAGAATCAAGAGACAGTCATTACATACCCTAAGCTGTTATATAACCAGGAAGTGGTTGTATGTCATCTCTTCTAGGTCAAAATGCAGAAAGTTGAAAATCTTATACACATGAAAGGCTCACATTAAATATGATCACTGGCGTATAATTAATTTTGATCTTGAAGTTAAAGATATGCTAAAGTGTTAATTTTTCAAGAACATAATGATTTTAGAATGAATTTGGACTCCACTTTCTTTATGGAAATGATACTACCTGGCATGACGTACCTATCACAGATTACAGGTCAGTGCTGGTCAAATCAACCAGGTTTTAACTAGAGTTTAAAAGTGCTTCAGGGAAACAATAGAAAGTGGAAGTGTGTGTTTGAAGCAACCAGTTGATTTTGAAGCAAGTATTTTATCCATTTTAAACTTCTAGAAAAATAAACACAAGTGTTGGCAGCGACGTACAAATACATTGAATACATTTACCTATCTGCTTTTTTGAGTTTCCAAAATTGCTTTTGGTAAGTGAATATAAATCTTAGAATGCTGAATAGTGACTATATTACTAGACAATTCTAAAGGGAAATTACTGCCTTTATTCATAGTTATCTTTTAAAAATTAGATTCCGAATTCCAATCTTTAACATGTGCCCAATAATGTGATCTCTTCCTTACCTTTCTTGTCTTATAGGGACAAAAATAAAAGAAAGAAAGTAAACAAAAGAAAAGTCTTACCTAAACCCAGGATTATTTAACTGCTGCTTACAGCTCTTAAAAATAAAACTGCTGGCCAGGCGGTGGCTCACGCTTGAGCTCAGGAGTTCAAGACCAGCCTGATCAACAGTGAGACGCTGTCTCTATTAAAAATAGAAAAACTAGCCAAATAGTTCCAGCTACTTGGGAGGTTGAGGCAGGAAGATGGCTTGAGCCCAGGAGTTTGAGGTTGCTATGAGCTATGATGACATCACTGCACTCTAGCCCAGGCGACAGTGTGAGATTCTGTCTCAAAACAAACAAAACTGCTAAAAACAACAACAATAAAAAGTTAAGAGCTATAGTACATATCCCTTCTCTTGGAATATCTATAATGTATAAGACAGAAAAATTTGGCTAACTACTCTGTATTAGATGCAGCCCCTCACATCTGATTGCTTTATTCATGGTACATACTGAGAGGAAAGATTAAGTAAAATTTGCCGATGTTAAAGCTTGTTTGGATTGGGAACTAATTTTGTTTTTTAATATTGATGATTTTTAATAATACTGATAATGTTTCAGTTAGTATGGGCCCTGTTTCTCTTTCATATGCTGCCATGATTGTACTGAACAGTCAAAATTTTAGGGGCAAGATGCTGGCTAGGCGCATGACCTCATTCTCCCTTATTGTTCCATGAGGGTTCACCCTACAGCCCAGGTTTAAAAAGAGGAAATGAGGAATGTCCTTTGGTCAAGGCTGTACACCCTTCACAGAGCTCAGTTTTCACCTGTCAGCCTATTAATGAACAAGTTTAGGTCTTCAGGGGAATTTTCCATGCAGCAATTCCAGGATCACTCTGCCATTTTGTGGAGGTCCTCCTCTCTGTGTGTGCGTGTGTGCTCCTGAAGCGAGGGACTGTCCCCAATACCCCAGGAAAGAGATGATCTCCGGACAGATTAACAGATTCTCTCTGCTCCCAGGTGACTAATTCTCTGCAGCCAGACCCAGGCAAGGAGGTAGAAGAAGGAGGTAGGGTCTGGTACTCTCCTTTGCTCATTGCTCTCTTGGTCTACACTTCAGGGTACTAGAGGTCTGGTCTTGGGTTATAAGGGTTAAAGATGGTCATTGTCACTTGGCGGCAAGCAGGGAGGTAGAAAGGAAGTCATTTCTGTCATGCCAATAAACAAAGATGAGCAAGTCATATCTTTCCTTCCAATCATCTGGAGTCAAATGACTTTCTGTCCTTCCTTCCTTTCTCTTATCCACAACCCAGTGGTTCTCAAACTTGAGTGTGCATCAGAATCACCTGGAGGGGCTGGGGAAACCCAGAGTGCCAGGAACTGGCTCCAGAGTTTTCGATTCAGTGGGTCTGGGGAGGGGCTCAAGACTTCGCAGTTCTGACACATGCTCCAGTGATGGTGACACTGCTAGTCTGAGAACTGCAGCACTCACCACTGTTTCTCAAAATGTGAGCCATGGACTACCTGATTGCAACCATCTGCAGTACTTGCTAAAACACAGGTGTAGGTCCTTAGAATGGGCATGGGGGTTCAGGATGACAAACTTTCCCAACTTTTCAAGTGACTCTCATGCACCCACACTTTGAGTCTTGGTACCTTATCCTTAAGCAAAGTTTCATTTTAGGGTTCTGTCCAATCTAGATGAGCAACGCCACATTAAGGGTGGAGTTCTCAGGCAAACCCATAAAACTAGAGGGGCAAACAAGCCATATCCCAAGTGCCGTAGGCTGTGCTGTGGGAAGGGGCAGGGGCCACCCATCATTCCCACCTTACGGTGAGTGTCAGAGGAGAAGGTGGTCTTGGGAGACCTGCCTTGGGAACAGAAGTAGCTGGTAAAACCCCAAGGGGACAGTGACTTTTAAAGAACCAGGTTGGGCTGGGTGGTCTAGCTGTGCAATGACCTATAATGACCCCGCCTATAGGCCATATTCCTTCTGAGCCAACTACAGCCTACAGCTCTTTCCATCCCTGAGCCCACACTGTTGAGTAAAGGCAAGCCTCTAAGTAGGGCCCAAACGTCTTTGCCCTATTTATGACAGCGACTCTGTCTTCATGAAATCAGGCAACAGTCACTTTGATGTCTGCAATATGTAATAATTCCAACTCAACAATTTAGATCATTTGATAAATTCCCTTCATTAGTGGCATAGACCTTACATCTAAGATCAAACACACACACACACACACACACACACACACACACACAAAGACACCGTCTGACTGATTCATGCAAATTTTAAGATCAAAGAAGAAGGCAGGTCTGCCGAGGTGCTCACTCGTGAGTACACAGCCTGCTCCAACACTTGCTCCAACACCTGCTCCAACACCTGCTCCAATACCAGCTCTAGGGTGCACCGGGAGGCAGACCCCGGCCAGGGTCACTGCAGTGGTCCCTGCTCTACGCTCTCAATCTCACTGCTTTTAGCTCCAGAGCCACGAAAGGAAACTGAGACCACAGCCAAAAGTGTGCTAAAGAAAGGTTCAGCAAATGCAAATTTTTTGGAAGTTTTTTTGCAAGCCAATCCCAGGTAGAATAAATTCCTTAACAGAAAGTTCTAGAGCCTGAAAGGTTAACCTCCATGGTAGGAATGATACAAAATGGTAATGCACTTCTATTTGTGGGCAAATCTGGGTTTCCTGAGTCTTCACTAAGCAGGTTTTTTTTTTTTTTTCAAACTCGCTGCTGCTTCTTGCAGCCAACATGCTAGACTACAGCAAATCTGTTCAACTGTTCTAACGTGTTCTAAAATTATAAACCGGAACCTACACTCTCCTAAAAACCTCACGCTCTGAGCTTCACACACTCTCTGCTCGTCCTGCATGGGAAACAAGGCAGTTTCTTCAGAGTCTCCGTGGCGGCTTTACCTGAGCTGGTAGAGGCGGGGGACTTGCTGCGCCTGGAGGGGCCGGGGCTCTTGGTGGTGCTCCTGCGGGACGACGAAGCTATTTTGGTGTAAGAAGTGGACTTCACCACTCGACATTCTGGGGAAAGAACAACAACCACACATCATCATTGGGTTAACAGCGCACACCCCCACGCAAAATATACAGTAAACCTGGAAATAGAAATACATGGACCATCCTCAGCCACATCTACTTCCTGCCAGCCCAACACTCGTCTATGAAAACGGAACCAAGAAAACGAGGAAGGGCAGGAGATGGGCTTCCTACACGTGGAAGTACATAATACTCCAAGCCTCCTCGTTTTCCTTTTTGTACAATAATATTTTGGAAGATTTCGGAGTCATAGGCTAATAAAGAGGTGTTTTTGTTGGGTTTCTCTCCACCCACTCTTTGAGTTATCTGTGTACGTGGGTCTCTCTTAGGATACATTGTTCTTTTCTTCCAAGAAAAATGTTAGAAGAAATATAAGCCTCGTAAACCAAGAAATGTGGCGATGGAAGATTCCATGCGTCATGACAGGGCCAAGTTTATTGTCCTGGAGGTCCTCACAGTGATAGCTGTGGGTCTTTATGATGTGTGGGAAGTGACAGCATTTGCTTAGAAGAGGTAAAATTGACGGAGAGGCGATATTTCTCGATACAAGGGCATGGTGTGCGCCAGTGCCACCACAGGAAGCTACTAGAGAGCCTGTACTGTGTCTATACTAATGGTTCTTGGCTTGAGGATGAGAAACAACTTCATTTTCACTAGATTTAAATCCTCAGTGTTTGTGTTCATTACATTCTACGCTAAACACCTTAAATCTCAAAGAGCTTTCCATTTCTCTCTTAACAGGCTGCACTGACCAATTATAATGCTGCGAAAACCCACACATCTTGTTCTTAAGAAACCACTTTTAATAATTAAATAATCTTTGTATGTTTGCAATGATAAAGTACTATAGATAGGAAATATAAAGTATATTTAAAAACACCCAAATAACCCATGACCAAGAGATACTTTTTTGTGGGGAGCGGGAGAGTAGTCTACAAATGTCTAGAATGTTTTCTACTCATTTATGTATGCCAACAACATTGGCATTAATTGACCTATTGCGCATATATGCGCATTGCATATTGACCTATTATCAGCCCTTTTAACACTACAATAAGAGCATTTTCATGTTGTCATTTAATGGCTGATGAGCATTTGACTATACAGAATACCATAATTTACTTAACCAAATCCCTACTGTTGGACATGTAACTTGCTTTCAGTAGTTCACTATTATAAATACCCAATAACACCCTTGTAAATGAGTGTGCAGTTAGCCACTTCTTTCCTTAACATAGATTTAGTCCCTGGCATTCAAAATTTAGTTTCTAGTAACTATTAATAGAAACCAAAGGCATATTGTAGGTGCTCAAAAATATCTGCTAACCCTCTTCTTTCTAAAAAATTGTAAGTTCAAAATTAAAGAAAAAATAGCAATATACTTATTCTCACCCCTCCAATATCACTACCATTTCTAATCATGTGTGGATCCTATAGTAGCTTTTCTAAGCTTATATAAATACATATACACATAAACAATTTTTGTTTCCTTTTTATAGAAATTATAAGATACTGACATACATTATACATTTTCCCTACTTATTATATATTATAATCCTCTTTCTTGGTCAATACATAGCAATCAAAATCCTTCTTCTAAGACCTCCATTATCTTTTGCAATATGTTTATGACACAATTTATTCAATCATTCCCCTATTGATAGATAATAGTCATTCCTTCTAGTCCAGTTTCTTCTTTTTTCTTCCAAACTAAATAAAAAAATTTAAGCTAAAAAAAAATCTGCTAAATAAATAGGTTTGGTGAGTTGAAAGAAGCACTTTTTAACACACTGACTGCCACACTAGAAAAAAAATTTTTTTCTTGGGGGCCATGGTGTTTTATTACAAAAATAGAATAAAAACTTCAAAAACAAAATGATCCTTTCTAATTTAATGAAAAAATTGTTACTTTTTATTGTTTTCTGTGCGTGAGTTATATGCAACTTGAAAATTAGTTCATGCAGCTCCCAAAGTGAAGAGATGTGTGAACTGCATATGCTTCACAAGGCCCCGGGCTCAAAGCTAGCATGAGTTAAATCCAACTCACATGGCAGTTAATGTGTTAAAAACTCTTAACAAATTGCCCTCCAGAAAGTCTGACCCAAATTGTGCTCTCTCCAGATCATGAGTGGTCATTTGCCTGATCCCTCACTGAGGTTAGGTATTACATTTTCAAAAACATCTTTGCCAATTTCTAAACAAATATCAGACTTCATTGGTTGAAATCTGAATTTGTTTGCCAGTAAGGGTGTACATTTTTTTCCACATGAATATTAGCCATTTGTATTTCTTCTTTTACAATTACCTTTTATGTTGTTTTTGCCTATTCGCAATTGAGATCTTCTTCTTCTTATTCGTTTGTAAGAATACATTCTATATTAAAATTTATCACTTAGTCCATCGTGTTATAAATATTTATCTTTGCAGGTAATGACTGAAATATGTTAGCCTTTTTAAAGTAGTGATCTTTGTAAGGATGGTAGTTTAAAATTAAACTACTTTAACTTTTCCATTATACATTTTTTTAAACTATTTTATACTTTAGTAACAAAACACTCATAATAATTCCAGATCTAATTCTGAGGCCCGACTTCAACTTCAAAGTTTTTCTTCCCTATCCAAGCAACTTCAAATATTCTAAGTTCAAAACATGTTTCTCTCCTTTATAGATTCTGAATGGCTTTATAAAAACATCTTTTCCTATTTTTTTCTAATATGCAAACCAACAAAGTGGTTTATATTGTTTAGCAAGAAAGGAATGTGAGTATATATGACTTATAGATGTTAAAAGACTAGAAATAGGAGATAAGACATAGAGAATAGTGTCTCCTGGAGAGCCTCATGAATTCAACTGAGGTGAAAGAAGAGGAAGCAATTAGAAACAAAAAAAAAAGAGAGAGAAAGGAAATTCTGCTTTGAAATATTAGTAGCTGTGGCTTCCTCTGCCTGTTTTTTGAGCCCAAAGCAGAGAGAAATGAACCAGGGCATTGCAGAACCAACCCAGTCTTCCCCAACAATTACTTGGGCCACTGTTGGCTGTTCTGGTCTACCCTGGTGGCCCTGCAAGAGATTTCCATTCCTTAAAAATCAGAAAAAAACATCCACACACCTGGGCATACTAGCAACAATTAAAAGATAGGAGTAACCAAGAAACAACATTAAGAACATCAGAAGACGTGATCGGAAAAGCCAGGACCTCTCCCATGGGACGATCAAGCCTAAGGGTGTCTGTGTAGATTTTAATTCACAAAACACAACTTTGGAACGTGTGATCTCAAATTAGCTCAAGGCTCTGTCCACACAACTGACAACACATCCTGGAGTTTGTCCTAGCTTTTGGACATCTGCCTAGACTTTCGGAAGAACTCTAGCAACCAAACTGGAAGGCCATGATGTTCCGGTTCGTCGGCAAGCTCGCAACTACATTTTTATCAAGTGTCTACTCCGTGCCAGGCGCTGAGAGCTGCAGGCATGATGGAGGACAAGACAAAGTTCTGGAACTCAAAATACTCACCACCTGGTAGTGGTGCACAGAGTCTTCTCACCAACGAGACCTCTTTTTTGCTAATTTTTATTTCATAGATCTCATGTTTGAAAAATGTTGGTTTATGCAACAAATTGCTCTTAAGTAACATTCCGCTTTCTCATTTTAAATCAAAATCAAGACTGTAACGAGGGCAGATGACCAGAACTTTTTGTTCCAGGTCATGAATGTTGACAGGTCACATAAATTTAAAACAATAATTTCAAAAGCTCAGCATCTAGTTAGCAGGAATGCATAGTTAAAATAGAAAGCTACCAGATGGTGCATATTGTTAATAATACCCATCTGTGAGCCGCAACATGAATTAAAAAGTTGATTTTAGGGGTTTGTGGCATGCTGTTTGGCACAGGTACCAGCATTGCAAGTTATGGCCTGGACCTCCAAACCAGGACTCTGGGTCCCCATCATAGAACCAATCTTACCACACTAAGTTGACATTTTTCCAGCTACCAGAAGGTAACTAGGTATTTTCGTTAGCCAGTTTCGTCTTATCAGAGCAAATGTAGGTGTTTCATTAGGTTTCTGAAGTATTGAACTTGTGGGTTTTTGCCATGCTTCTCTTGAACTGAGTTTGATAGATCAATCAAATTTATCCATGTATTAGTCTGTCTCCTCTCCCCCATACTCTATTGGGTACTAACCAGTTCCTGGCATACTAAAAAGCACGTAGTAGGTGCTCAATAAATGCTGGCCTGAATTGCTATTGATCCTGTTACTACTTGTATGAACTCTTGGTATTCATTGCACTAATCCAACCTCTCATTTTACAGATGGGGAAACTGAGTCTCTGAGAGACTAAATGACTTATATCAGAAGTCAGGTCTCCTGAGTAGGTGGTGGCTCCCTCACCACCCCAGGATCTAATGTTGTGGCCTTAGCAAGCTGTTGCTTTGTGCATTAACCCTGGGAAATTTCTCTCCGTACCCATGGCGGGGGCAGACAAGCGAGAGATGGTAGACCAGGGAAGGACTGGCAAATAGCTAGTTCTCAGATCAACATGAAATTAAAAATTCAAAATACTAAAGCTACCTCTCTATCAAGATGTTTACTGTGTCAAAAAAAAAAAAAAAGAAAAGAAACAATGAGCTCTTTCAGAAGTGAAGTTATAATGAAGTGATAGCTTGGAGGATGGTGGAGTCTGAAAGATAATTACAAATATTACAAACCTTGTACCACTTGCCTTCAGGATAAGAGTGAAGCTTCATGAGTCACACTGGGGATCAGAATAATTCTGAAAGGCTTGGGTTGAATAACATAAACAGAAGTGAATAATTTATAGTAGATGCTTTTCTTTTTCCTAGGGTCAAAATAAACCCAGTTGAAGAATATTGCAGTGCCAAGCCATAGATTAGGGAAAAAATGAATATAAAAAACTCCAACCATTTTTCCAATTAAAGTTTAGATTTTAAGTAATTTAATTAATTTAAGTGGGAATTGTATT